AAAAAACAGCTGAAGTCACATTTATTTAGACAGTTTTTAAGTGATTGGGTTTATTCATTTTATTTTGTGAGTACTTTTTATGTTTATCTCTTTTTATCCTTTGACTTTGTAAAGCACTTTGTGACCCTGTCTGTGGACGGTGCTATATAAATAAAATTTACTTGCTTACTTACAATGTGATTTCCTGAATTTTTTTTTTAAATTCTGTCTCTCAGAGTGGGAATGCACCCACAATGTGAATTTCAGACCCCTCCATGATTTCTAAGTGCGAGAACTTGCAAAATCGCAGGGTGTTCAAATACTTCTGTTCCTCACTGTACATTCCTCCCACAGCTAACACCATTGATAGGAGTGAGGCACTAGATGGACTCTACCAGGCCATCAGTGAACAACAGACGGATTCCTCATCACAGCTGGGGACTTCAATTACGCGGATTTAAAGGCTTTACTGCCAAATCTGCACCAACGTGGACTTTCCAACGAGAGGAGACAACACATTGTACAGGACATGCAAGGGAGCATACAAAGCCTCGCCCCTCCCCCACCTGGGTCTCTCTGATCACATCACTGTCATGCTGAGACCTGCATACAGACCCAGATTGAGAACCATCAGACCAACACAAAAGGAGGTACGCGTGTGGCCAGAGGGGGCCTCTTATTCTCTGAAGGACTCTGTTTTGCCAGACTGGGACATTTTCAAACAAGCATCCACTCACAACAATCATACAGACATAGAGGAATACACTGAAGTCGTCACAGCATACATCACAAAGTGCATTGATGATGTCACACACTGCAAAAATATCAGTGTTTGTGCCAACTAGAAGCCATGGCTGACAGGTGAGGTTCACAGAGTCCTGAGGGCTCGGGATCCAGCCTTTAGGGCCGGCGACACTGCAGACCTAGCAACAGCAAGAGCCAGCCTGTCCCATAGAATCAGGGAGGCAAAACCCAATACAGCAAGAAAATATCTGGACACTTCAGCAACACTAGAGATGCACAGTCTCTAGCGGGGCATCCAAACCCTCACAGGCTATCAACCCCCACCTCGGAGCTGTGATAGTGACATCTCTCTGCTGAACAGCCTCAGTGACTTCTTTGGCCGCTTTGAAACACAGAACAACACACCAGCACAGAAGACCAACTCTGCCTTCAGGGAGAAGGTATCAGAGTCTTCAGGCCCACTCCACCAGACGTACAAACAGCTTCATTCACCAGGCTGTGAGGATGCTGAACACTGTTCATTACCTCCCCCCCGGACCGTAACCCACCACAGAACATAAAAAGACTACCCCTGCTGTTGCACAAACTCAATACATTCCCCCCTTTTTGTTATATTACAGGTAAATCTGCTGCTGACTGTTTTTGTTTTTTGTTTTTTTTGCCAGGATATCAGCTGCTATTGGTCATTTGCAATACTGTCCATGTATACATCATATGCTATTTGCACCTCATCACCAACGCCCTGGTGATGCTGAACCACCTGACAATCTCCTATTATTGTTTTGCACTACTGTACTGTAAACGGTTTTGAGTCACAGCTTATTGGCTGTACTGTTTAGATTTCTCCTAATTATGTCAATCCAGTTCTTATTCTATTCTACTTTTATTCTGCTTTATTCTATTTTAGTTCCTAAATGTTATGGCACCCAATACTAGGTGAGAGAGAAACGGTATTTCGATTTTCTGTATTTTCTGTCCATATGGTGAATTGACAATAAAATCATTTAACCTTGAACATTAAAATGCAAAAACACATGACACAACTGAAATGGTGGATCATACAGTCCATGATGAGATGGTTTGGATGGAAACAGTTCTATGCAGGAAATTAGCCTACTCTACATACTAGAGTTTTTAATAGGAACATTTTATTTGTTATGATGTATTTATAAAATGTGTTATTACATTTTTAACTAAAATGTTGCCACTAGACTCAATATAATAACTAGTGCAAGGTTGTGTGAGTGTGTTTTTTTTTTTTATTGAAACAAAGTAACACATTAAAACTCAGGAGTTCCTTTAAAAAATCACACATATGTACCTAGTGCCAAATTAAGTAACCACTTATAAAAACAGCTTTAAAAATGTCATAAATTCATATTTTTTCCACTTTAAACTAGCCAATCTTTTAGAACAACTTCTGCCTCAAATATACATATCAAATATGAATTAAATTTCTGGAATTTTTAACCCTTTATATGCCAATATGTTTTCATAACTCCATTTTTTATGGGAAAAATATGAAATTTTTAAATATTTTCCAAAAAAATACATTTCAACCAGCATTATTATTATTATTATTATTAGGCCCTGGGATGGGTCAATGATTGGCAGCAACATTGATTTTGATGCATTTTTTTTTGGCAATGGCAAATGTCAAATTCATATTACCCTGTTGTGTTCTAAAAATAAATAAAAAAAATACAAGATTAGTTTGAACCAGAACATTTATTTACAAGAACACTGAACGAGGAATACTGAAAACCATTAACCTTGAATCACTATTAGAGTCCAGCTTGAGCAGATCAGAGGCTGCAAATAGATAGGGAGTGGTTCTTGCAGATAAACTTGTGGCACTTATAGTAGGTGCCTCCAACCCTCTTTCTTGAGCACAAGTGGCACTGCCGTCTGCACTTGACTGTGCTCCTCTGAGAGGGGCCTGCAGCAGCAGCAGCAGCACCATCCTGCATTTCCATGACAAGATTTGCAGCATTTGATGCTCGGGGAAGGCGCTCTCTCCTTTGGATGTGGGGTGTCACCAGTTGTTCTCCCACCTCTTGGATGAAGAGCCTCCTCTTGTAGGTTTTATGCTCCTGCCAGGATGGATCCAGGGATGTCCACAGGACAAACACATTGTAAAGTGACACATCCAGCAGGTTGTGAAAGAGAGCCAGTGGCCACCTGTTGGCACATACTCCTGCAGGAGAGCAGACAACCTAACAAAAAACCCCAAAACATAAAACAAGACAATATGAATCAATAATCCAAGTATTCTTTCTCATGATACACATTTATTTTAGATGAAAATGGTCATTTGAAAAAATCGACATATATTTTAGACAAGAACATGAGTAAGAATAAATGTGTACGTAACTGAAGCGTAATAGCACCTACCTTATCAAGGTTGTCAACACCTCCTTTGCAGCGCTTGTAGTCTTCAATCGTTGCTGGCTTTTTCTTCTGTCCCTCGCCAACATCTGGTCCACGGTGCTTGGTACTGAGCAGCAGCACATTCCGGCCCCGTCGCGGTATGTAGGAGACAAGGGTGTGCGTACTAGTGAAGGCAAAAGTGGAGGAATACATTGCTCTCCCTTTTGCCTGCAGTACGTGAGGGGGAAGCTCCAGCTTGTTCCTCCGGATGGTGCCAACCAGTGCCACTTTATTCTTCAGCAGTTCCTGGGACAGCGGGAAGGAGATGAAAAAATTGTCACAAGTTACCACATGTCCACGGAGCCCCTTTGTCATCTGCATGACCACTCTCATGCCCTGGTTGACTTCACGAAGTAGGTCTTTGCCGGTGTGAATTTGCAGTCTCCAGGTGTAAGAGCTTTTCACATTGCACAAAGCCTAGATCTTTATGCCATATTTGGCTGGCTTTTTGGGCATAAATTGTCGGAAGCCGCACCTCCCTCTAAATGGAACCAGCTGCTCGTCCACACAAATGCCTTTATCTGGGTTAAAAAGCATGGATAAGCGCGGCGTCCAGATGTGGCGGAATGGAGCCAGTTTGTTATCCTGGGATCAGGGTTGGGATAGTTTGTCATTCAAACGCAAGTTCCAGGTGATCTGGTGGAAGCGTTTATTCGACATCGTGGCCCGGAAAATGCTGTGTTCGTTCTTCTCATCCCAGAGGTTGATTGTTGGCTCATTCTTGGACCTGTACACTCCAGACAGAGGTCCATGCTGCACCTGTTGCATCAGCCTTGCTCCCGCTGCTATCTTCAGAGCTGTCAGAGTCAGCCAGCTCATGCGATTCCACCGCTGAGTCTGAAGAGGGCTCAGATTCCTCGGCAGAGGACGAGGACTCTTCGCTCTCTGTCTGCATGACTACATCCACAGCTTCTTGTGTGGTAAATCTTCTTTCCATTTTGCCAACTAATACTACTCCCACACTACTGCTTATACTTATACCTTTGGCTGCAGTGCACCTGCATACACAGCCTGAATGAGAACCCAAAGTCCAATTTTGTATGGGTTCTTGCTTCTCATCTTGAATTGTTTATAAAATAAATTGTAGCCTTGCAAGAGAAAGGCCTTATGAAGTCTGACACACACGCATGCACACACGGACTGACGGACACACACATGCATGCAGACACGGACGGACACACAGAGACACAAACACACACACACAAGTCATGGAGTGCGCATGAGCAAATCCGAGCGGACATGAGAGGAGACGAGATGAGCCGAGCGGCGTCAGGCATGCACAAATGTGTTTGGTTTGGATTCAGATCTTGAATTATAAAACACAGAATATGGCCTTCTAAGACAAAAAAACTTATAAAGTTGGTCACAGACAAACCTACGTGGTTGGTTTTATGCAGCTAGAATTGCGTATGCGCGTGCACGTCCGAACACGGACATATAAACAGTTACGTAAATGCAAACAGACACACGCACACAAATTATATTGATATAACACACAATAGTGATACACAATTTGTCATTTTAGCAAGTCACCCTTGCAAAAACAGTGAAAAATAGTGAAATTTGGATGCCAGACACAACCTAGTTACATATGTGATTATTTTTTATTTTAGCCGTTTTAGGCAAATATAGGTAAGTGAGACCTCAATTTTGAAGTTTTTAAAAAAGTAAATAACCTGTAACAAATTTGAGCTACATTCATTCAACACAGCCAAAATGACTTCAAAAATAAAACACAAATGTTACCACTAGTCCCCTAAGTCCACAAAACAGTACCGAACATGGGAGACAAGACAACAGATACATGACATTACAAAAAGATATAAAGTGTTTTACAAGATTGCAGTGTGTGAAGTCTGGGTATTTCCAACTTATGTAGCCTATGAAATGCAAGAAAGGGAAAAGGAATGAAAATAAATAAATAAATTACCACCAGCTTGTTACATTTTTAGAGGTTGGTGGGAATGTGCATGGCCTCAGCCCCAGGTGTTTAGTTGAGATGTGTTAAAAATGGGTTCCATGTGTCATAAAAAGCTGATAAACTATTCTTGTGAGTGGATGTCATTTTCTTTAATGTGATGTATTCTATCAGAAGGTTGGTCCTGTTATACCCCAGTTCTTTTACTGGACAGATCTGTGTAAGGAAGGAGTCCATCTTTCTTGATTTTAGTGCTGGTTTATTTACAAATATATATATATATATATATATAAATATATGTATATAAAAAGATTACAAAACACAAGCTCCCTCCTTCAGACACGCTGCTGGAGAAGAGAGCA